AATCCCACATGGCAACCACGATTTGAGTCCTAGGCCAGTTAGATATGAATACTCAAGATCTGATGAGCTGTAGGACTGGAGGAAGGAGACTATGGTGTGGCCAGATCCTGTGTAAAGTGATCTTCTCTCTTCTCTTTCTCTTCTATGCACTCTTAGGCACATACACATATTCTATCATAAAGATATGATTAAAAAATGAAAGAATATTTGAGATGGGAAAAAATGTTGAGATGTGGTCATTAGATCTGAAAGAACAATGTATTCTGGTTCTGTATCTTTTTAAATACTGGAAAAGAAATGATATCTGAGGCAAAACACTACCCATGAATAAAATCTAAATAAAATCACCTAACATGGAATTCATGTTGTCTACCCTCAGTTTGCATCCCAAGCTCAGTTACCATGAACTATTTTCAGTTCTAAAAACACGCCTTCTCTCCCATACCTCAGTCTTTGTTCATACCGGTAACTCTACGGGGAAAACCCTTTCTGCTTCTTGTTTGCATGGAAAGTTGCTGAATACTCTTTAATATTAAGCTTAAAGAACTGGCTTTTCATGGAATCTTCCTTGAGTTTTCTATGTATTGAGTGCAGCATTTATAGCATAGTTCAGAAACTAGTCCTTTCCACGTTCTCTTTTTGCTGAGCAGGATACTCCTAAAGAAGCTCTTTATCTGAAGGTAAAGGCCTTATTGTATTTCTTCTGCCTTTATATTTTCTGTACTTAGTTTAGCATTTTATTTTCCTGGTTGGATAACCCCTTTATCTATCTCAGTGGCCTTCCCATTAGCCATTGACAGTCTTCTATTAAGATGACCAATGGCCTTTTCAGCCCATAGCATATGTCCCCTTCATTACCAAGAGCACTAGCAAAAAGTATATGAAAGAGTCAAGGGGCCAGCAGGTGTTTAAGGCATTGGACTCTCACATGGCTGACCACGGTTCAAGACCTGGACCTGGTAGCTTTCTCTCTCTCTCTCTCTGTCTTTCTTTCTCTCTATGGTGAGTGCATGTGCCCTATAACAAGTTAAAAAAATAGTAAATAAAATAAAATTCTTAAAAAAAGAGCCAAAATTAAGGAAGTCACAACTAAAAGAAATAACAAAGGAACATGAAAAACAACTCCCTATCTTGAGACAAATGAAAAACTGAAGCTACAGGTATGCTATCTAATAGGGTCATGGATGTTTTTAAAATTGATGTAATTGTCAAATATTTGCTGAATGTCAAAGGAATGATCGCACGAATTTTCTGGAGTGAGAAGATTGGATAGATTTTTTTCCCCCCTTCCATCTGGCTATTTTTCTATCAATTGATCTTGAGCCATCATCAATTTGCAAAAAAGCTCTTTGGCTTGCTTCCTTTTCTTCCTTGTCCACCCCCTCTTTAGCCCATTGTGTTGGTTTGGCTAGGAGCAGACTGGAAATCAGAGAGGTGATTATAGCCAAAGCACTGAAGAAGTAGGGTTTGGATATGGCCTCTGCTGTCACTGGAGCTAACAAAAAAAGTAAGCAAGAGGGGGACACTTGCCAATTGATCGGAAACCTCCACGATGACATCAGGTCTCTGGTGTGCAACAGACCTGGCAAGGCTCACCAAGTGGAACATGTTAATGACCTGTGGTTACCTAAGATAAGTTTTTTCATCTGTTAGACAATGAATTCATTTTTAAAAATCTGGAGATAAAATTTACAAAGCTAGGATAAAATGATGATGAATAAGCAATGTGTAGTACAGGCTAAACTTTGAAAAGATATCCAAATGACTGAAGCTATCAATATGTATTTGATAATAGCTCTTGTAAGTGAAGATGAGAGGCAGAAAGGACTGGTCTCTGCTTAAAGGATTCAGACTCTGTTGAAGATCAGAAATTCCATGGCTGGAACAGAAGACACTGAGAGAAAACTGAAGTCCCTCCGAGACCAAGTCAATAAAGATACAATCACAGTCAGGTGTAGAAACACTTCCTAAATCTCTACTACTAGAAGATTACTTTTGTCTTTGGATATTTTATTTTATACCAAATTGTTTTTCTAAATTGTAGGCTTAGAAAAATGAATACTGGTTCAAGTTTATGAAGAAATGATTCAATAATAAAATGTTCATTCCTCTATGTGGTAGCACAAGGCATATCAATTGAGTTCTTGCCATGCATCAGACACAGGGATAGGAAAGCGTGGGGATTCAGAGCCTTTGAATTCGTGCTAGCAGTGGGAAGAGGTGAACTGTCTACTCTTAGGGCCTTACAACAACTCCTGAGATGAGGAACTAGTATTTTCTAACAATTACAACTGTCCAATTAAGTTTCTAAAAAGGAGATACACTCTGAATATATAAATAGGTTTCAATAACAGAAATAGGATAATATATATATTAATAATAAAATTATACGTCAATTTATATTATATCCTATGTAGGATAAATTGATGTGGATTAGTAAGGCACAGGTAGGAGTGTGTGGTCTTAGTTGTGGTAGACTCCTGGATGGACTGTGAGTATATCCATGTGGGATATTTGTACATTATTTTTTTGAGTTATGAAAGGTCTCCATGATGATGATGTGGTGGATGGACTCCCTGTGGGAAATGTCTAACCCTCTCACTACTTATCCACTGGTAGTGGAACCAGAGGGTGAAAATTACATCAGAGAATTCAGCCCAATGTCAGAAAGAAAATTCTAACAGATCTATTAAAAAAGAATATTTTTCTGGGAGAATAAGCCAGCAGAAGAGGTATAATCATCCATGATGGTACAGGATGAGGTAGAGTGGATGGGGGGCAAAACCTTACCAAGTGTTAAATCTGTCATTCTATCACGCAATCTTCTAGGTTGAATTTTAGATTTGGAGAAGTAGTCACTCTCCTATATAGAGTTGGTTAGAGTGGATGGCGCACAAAACCTTACCAAGTGTTAAATCTGTCATTCTATCACGCAATCTTCTAGGTTGAATTTTAGATTTGGAGAAGTAGTCACTCTCCTATATAGAGTTGGTTGCTTAAATAAAATTATTAATACCTTTGCCATAGTCTTTTTATTTTTGCCTATTTTGAAAATGTAGCCTATGTTAATTTCTACTCAATAAATAAAATACTGGCAGGATATTAATATATCACTGCCACTTCATAGTCTTCTAGCACCTTATTAAGAAATAAGGAGGGATTGTTCATTGTCCTTGAGCTAATGTTTGGACCTCATCATTGGTTCACATTCCTGGGAAGAATGGAATAGGAGGTGGAACAATAAAGACCCTGCCATTAAAAGCCTCTTTGCCATTAAAGGGAATCCTAAGATGTTCTGGTGGGTGGCCAACATTCCAAAACAGAGCTGTAAGATCTAAGCCTGTCCTATCTATTTCTTCTATCCACCAAGGCTCAGCATGGCTTTATTTGCCTATCCTCTTATTATTCTGAACTCCCTAGTTGCCTGGACTCTCTCTCTTCACAAATAGTTTCATGTACTGTATTCAGCATTAACGTAGAGTGACTATGTAGAGATGTCTTCTAATCCTACTTCTAACAGATTAACAGCTAATAAACACCATGCAACACTCTCTCCTCTGAACCTCTTCTTAAAATACAGAGTTTGGTTTGCCAACATTGGTATATTTAAAGCCTCCAAGATTCCAGGGAAGACTTTAGAAAGTTAACTGTGTAAGTAAGACCTGTTCAGAGAGGAAATTTTCCAACACGAAGACCTAAATCTGTGTATCAGCAGCCTGTGTGGGCAGAACCTCAGGGGATTCTGTTGTCATTTAAATGGACAGGATGTTTGTCCTCACTTCAAATAAATCTTCTCACTTTACTCTTGTTATGTAAGACTGGAGAGAACTCTGGACTTGTATTACCTAGGGAGAAGGAGAGGTGGCATCAATTTTGTCTCAAACGGGAAAGCGTGACTGTTCCAGGGAGGGAAACCGTGCCATCTTCCAGTGACTTTGTTATGAAAGGACTTATGCCAGTTTTTCTTCCTCATTTCTCTTTGCCCTTCTTCCTCATAGTCCCTATACTCCTTCTCTCTCTTCTTAGCTAGAAGGAAAGCAATTAGTTTTAGAGAAAACTCAATAACCAGAAGCTGTGTTGAAAGCTTTAAAGAAAGCCCAACCAATACTCTGTTTTAAGCATATGAAATATCAACAAAAATATGTTTGCGATAACCTGGATAATTATATGAACATTAAATGTAACAGCACCTCACATATACACACAATTAATTAGAGGTTAAACAGTGTGCACATAGTCCAATTTATGGGATTTCTAATCCTAGTAAACCAGAAGCCTCAAAAGAATGTACTTGGAAAACATTGACTATTTCCTGAAGTCTGAAAATTTGTGACTCTTAAAAAGTAGCTTGATTATGGGGCTACAAAATTACAGATATTTGGAGAAATGTATTGGTCTTTTTGCCTGAGATCTAATTTCTGGGACCAAGTCCTTTCTTTACTTTCAGGTAGGTGTTTCTTGTTGCAATAGAAATTTAGGTGTGTTTGATTGTTTACTACTCCTTTTATTTGTGTTTCCCTGCTTGTCTCCATTTCAGACCTTGAAAGCCACAGTAGAGTGAGAGTTTGATTGACTCTTTACATTGCCAAGGTGTGGAGTTGACTTTAGAGAGATTGGGTCGGTCCACAGGTGGAAATGATGACACCATTGTGTGCTAGAGAAACAGCCCATGTGCTCTGCTCAACTGTACTCATGATAATAGCGGCCTTGACCTTTAACACAGCATAACTTTCTCCATGCAGACCACATCTCCTTTGAAGAAAGTTCATAGTTATAGATTCACTTGCTAGGAATCTGAATTTGTTTGATTTGTTCCTCCTCCTGAAATCCAGCATCATCTATCTGTACCAGACACTTTTCCAGCTTGATTTACCCTGACGGTGCTATCTCTCTGCTTATACCCATAGCATTTGTCAGATAAACTACCTCTGGGTCATTAAAATATCAATGCATTTCTTGGGATTATTTACAACTTCCTTTACTGGTTTTTCTCTCTCCAGAACCGGACTTGAAGCCATCATGGAGACATACGCATTCTGGAGACCCCCTGTGCGCACACTCACCTTTGAAGATTTCACCACCATGCAAAAACAGCAAGGTAAAGCCCTGGGAAAGGCCTCTGCTTAGTGACAGGATGAGAGTGGGAGTAGAGGCTGAACTGCATGTAACACATCTGGCTCCAAGCCAAGACGTGGGTTATAGCAATTCTCCTGGAATGAAGAGAATTTGGTAGCTCTGTAAATAACCAAAGCATCACCACTTGTGCAAACAAGCTGGTTGCAGAGGCAGCCAGCATTTCGTCTGACACTCAGAATTCTCCCTCCTTTCCTAAAAACATGGATATCTATTGCTGACCATGATGGCAATAAAATTATTATTACTTTCACTAAGCATTCATGTAGGCCTTAGTGTTTATTGACATCTTCACAATAAACTTCATTTATTCCTCACGGCAGCCTTATCAGTTTTCTTATTCTATTTTTGTAGATGAATGAGAACTTAGCTCTAGATGATGGGAAAAAATTCCACCAGTTCTCACAACGAGCCTGTCTGTCCATTCTGACTGTGCTCCCTCCTTTTTTGTTTATATGAAGCAACACCTCTCTCAAGTTTGTGGGCTAATGCTTTGTACTTTTCTTCTAATTGCTAATCTCCCTTCCCTTGAACCTCAGGTTGGAAAACCATAGCTTTTTCAGTGTCTTTCTCCAACCTCCTTATGCCCAACGGCAACACTGATCACAACATATAGACGGAGCTTATTCTGGTCTATCAGATGGCTGCCATTAATAGAAGCCTAATCTTTGAATTTGTGGTTCTGCCATTTGAGAGGCCATTCTAGGACTTGGTAATATATTGCATTAGATTCCTTTCTCAGGGGAGCTTCTAGCACTTCTAGCACACTGAATTAGGTTTGTTGCCTAAGTTGCTAAAATCTCTCAAATTTTAAAATGTAGCCATTAAAAGCATAGACGTTGGAGTCAGACAACTTTGTTGAGCTCTTACCATCTTTTCTCCTTGGGTTTGTGACCTTGGTCAAGTCTTTCAAGCTTTCTTATGCAATTTTCTGTATTATAGGGGATAATATAATAGAATTTTTGTGAGGATTAAATGAGATAATTCTTTAAAATCATAATAAATACTCAATTCATGCTAATTATCATTATCTTCATCATCTCCATCATTATCATCTTCACCCCCTTTTGGTCCAAGTGCCTGGATACCTAAGAGGAAGATAAATTATTATTACCTTTTTAGTGAGTAATTATTTAAGGTATCATTATACTATTCCTTTCACAGGGATCTGGTGAGATAAGTGATCTAGAATTTCCATGTCATTTTTCATAGGTAGAGAGAAATGAAAGCCTTTTATATGAAGTGAGTTGCTCCTTATAAAGCTAAAGCTGTGATTGGAAGCAGGGTCAATAATTATCCAGGGTGTTACTACTACATTGAGACCCTTAAGATGGAGAGTTTTAGTTTGTTTCTTCATTTGTCTATCTACTTATTTAAAGAGAGAAAGATAAGCACCCTCAATAAGGCCTCGTGTGGCAATCATTCCTTCCCTGCCCCGACCCTTACAGCAGCCTTTCAGCCAGCCGCAATCAGGAGCAGTGTAGACAGGTCAACCTAGAAACCAAATCCCAATCTTCCATTATGGCTTATAGCCTTGTGGAGCATTGTACCATTGTACCACTCTTGCGCTAACATAGCTGGGCCACGAAGCAGAGCTTTTGTGGGAGTGCAGAAAATCTGAGCCCTCCTCATCTTTGGTAGTTACTTACTCTCTGTGTAACCTTGGCAATTTACTTCCACCCCAGCATCATTCATTCACCTACAAAAGAATGACATTTTTTTTTGCAAAGCAATTTATATAAATATATAAATAAATATTTTATAAATGAAAATGTGTCATGTAAGGACACTTATTTTATTCTTTTTATTTCTAAGGTAACATTTTTCTGTCTACCCTTGCTTTATTAATTGGCTTTCCAAACTCTAGGTAAGAGGAATTTGTATCATGGAAGCTGGTATGGAAAGTTTGACAGGGGTATTGCCTGTTTCTGACAGCAGACATTGATGACAATAGGTTGTGTTCATTACTGTGTCCTTAAGATTATCATGGGGTTTGTCACCCAGGAAGTACCTCATGACTGTGGCACTATGACACAGGTAGGCAAGGTCACTGTTCTGCTGCATTTGGAGCTCAACCATGTAGTGTGGATATGAATATGGATATTGGGATCGATAAGGGTAGCAACCTGCATTGCAGTAGCACATGGGCCCTTGGACAGGCACATGAAACCTGCATGAGTTTTTTGTACGTGCAGCATAGCAAGCTTCATGGTACTTTTTAATTTTTTGCTATAGGGTATGTGAACTCACTAGAAGGAGACAAGGGTGAAAGAGTAAGAAATCCCCCCCCAGGGGGAATGGCCATGCCCCAATCCTTTCTCCTCCATTCTTCTCTTGGGATTTTGGGCGCACACACATGTGCAACATGTTTCTTAAGCTGCCAGGTCATCTGGGACTTGAACTGCCCAGGTGGCCATGTGAGATCCAGCCACATTAACCACCATACCACAGGTTGGTCCAGCTTCATAGAACTTCTACTGAAAATTTATCACTATGAAGGTTTCTAATTGATACTTTGAAAACAATGATTTAAGAGAAACTGAACTTTCAAAGCATAGCATCATGATCACTTCAGTGGTCCTCTTTTATTACTGGGGTGGGAGAACGAGTTTGAATTATTGGATACATGTGGTGGTGGGATGGGGCTAGAGGAAAAGCCAAGACTCTATTAAATAGTTTAATTGGAATATATTTTTGAACCAAACACTGAACTCGATCCAGATTTTCATTATTAAAAAATATGTGGCTTGGTTTCTTGACGTTAACAAAGGACGTAAAACCAGCAACACCCATTCCCTCTTAGTTAAGAATTAAGAGTTCAGTAACTCTGGACAGTATCACTTATAAAATAAGAAAAAAGACATAGCCATCTGTGTTCAACTGCTTTGTCTTGTAAGAAATAGAGAGTGTTGAACTTCCAGTGGAAACTTCAGTGGCAGACTGAATTAACAGTAATTCCCTTTAGGTGTGGGAGTATCGGCAATGTTGGCGCTGACTCTGAGATCCAAATAATGACTGACTCACCAAGTGTCCATAATACCTCATTGCTTCAAACTCATGCATGTCTGGCATGTTGAACTGCAGATGTAGGACAGTTCTGCATTACTATTGATGGGAGTGAGATCAACCTTTCTGCTTGGATAAGAATGGAAGCTTTTTTCATTCTGCCCTTGCTGTCATTTTTATTTCTCTTCCATTAAGACTCATCTGCTGGTAGAATTTCAAGGAAAGCACTTAGGTGAATTAACCAGAGTTTCACAAAAATAACTCAAACCTTTCTATTTTAAAAAACATACTGGGGCTGACTTTCCAAACTGTAGTTGAAAAACAAACGTAGCGGTAATGTGCTGCTCATGCGTTGCTCGACCCTTATGGATGTGAGACCCTGTTGAGAGTGCTCCTCTCTTTTTTCTCTCTCTCTCTCTCTCTCTCGACAGAAATAAATTCATAAAAAGTCTTAAAAAACCTAAAAACATAGTACACAGAGTGTTCTAAATAGTTGTGTTTTCCTATAGAGCAGAATGCATTGGATTCATCACCCTTTGACACAAACAATAAATGGAATCATAGAGCAGTCTAGTAACAGATCTGCAGTGACGTGCCTGCGGGATTGAGTTAAGAACACCAATGTAAGATTTACCCTTGATTTTTGATTCCTCTTAACTCTTCCTGGAAAAACAGCCAGTTTTTTTCTTAACTCTGCCTTTCTCATCCCTTCTCCTGCCTTAAAATCTCTCAATGAAATCCAGGGTGCTAGCGATTAAAAGTAAATACAATCAAAGGGCCTGAGGCTATTAAAAAAATCCAGAAAACACCAATGCAGATTTCCTATTTGACAGACAGATTCCTTTCCAACAGACATTATCGTTCTTCATTCTTACCAGAGCTTTAATTTGTCCATGAAGAATTTAGTTTACTCTTCCTCTTTTATGGTTTATTGTTCAACAACTTGGATATTAACTCTTAAGTCCATATTTCTTTTTTTTTTTATGAAGTCCCATTTATGGTTTTATCTCTAGACATCTTCATTTAGAATCAGCAAGGATGTTTATATGTTTGGAGAATCTGAAGATAGAAATCCAATTTCAAGAATGGCTTCTGGGGGCTGACAGGTGGCATGGTGGTTAAGGATCTGGACTCCCACATGGCTGACTGTGGTTTGAGTCCTGGACCTGGTGGATTGCTTTCTTGGTGGATTGCTTTCTCACTTTCCCTCTTTTGCTCTCTCTCTGTTCAAATTAAAAATAATAATAATAACAAATAAAATAAAATAAATAGATAATTATTTTTTTAAGAATTATTTTATTTAACTTTATTTATTAATTTATTTATAAAATTTGACCAGAGAGGGACAGAGTAAAAGAGAGAGTGGGAAAGTGAGAAAGGTCTGGGACTCAAACCATGGTTGGTCATGTGGGAGTTCAGTGCCCTTAACCACCATGCCACCTGCTAGTCCCAATAAATAAATAATTCTTAAAAAAGAAAAGAATGGCTTCTGCATAAACAGGGAAGAAATGAACTAATCTAAGTGATTTAGAGGAGGTGACTGAGGTAATGCTGACAAAGAAGGAAAAAGAAGAGCCCAGATCAGTTACAGACAAGTGCAAAGCGATACTGTTGTTTTGATGGCTAGCCCTGCATATAATTTGTGCCTCAGCTTCCTCATATATGCTACAGAGCTGTTGGTAGGACTAGAAGTGAGAGAGCTTTTATGAGGAGTGACTCCAAGTGATTTAACAGCTGTTTTGCTAGAAGGAAGGAACCATTCTGTAACAGTGACATCAGAACTGGCACTACATCTTCCTCGATGGAGATGAGGAGCTCCGCCCTTCTCAGAAGCCCTCTCTTCTCAAGTGCTAGCAGATCTCGCTTCAGATTTCAACACCTCTGGATGTTTTAGTGTTTGTCAGGCAGTTAAAGAATTAGCATTAGGAGGGCCTCTGTTGGTCATTAGTTTGATTTCTA